CGACATTTCAAATTCAGAGAGTGTCAAATGCGTGCATTGACATGGAGGCCACAAGTGCGTCCGCATCCCCCCAGCTTATGGTGTTTGTAATCTCACTCTGTATGTGTGTGTATCGGTGTGTGTGTGTGTGTATGCGTGTGTTTGTGTGCGTGTGTTTGTGTGCGGGTTAAGAAATTACACGACAGCCTACAGCAGGGCATCAAGAGCAGTAGCAGCAGTTGTTCTTGTTTGTTTGCATTGCCACTGATTGTTATTTCCATGTTGGGGTGATGAGCCATAATACCCTGTAATTTGAATATATGTATGGGGTTTATTGAAAAATTAAATAGCTGAGTTATAAATATATATATATCTGATAGACGAATCGGACAAGACTATATTATATATTTATATTCTATTTGTAGAATATCTTCTATTTTCCCCTTTACTTTAAACATTTTCATGTTTTAAGTTAATGAACCTTGTAGTTCTCTGCCAATTCTCAGTGCATTTAGATATAGCTCTACGTTGATTACATTATTTTCTTATGGAATCGTATGCATCTAAATTCCTCTGCACCTTTGTAATTCAGAGGAGCCTTTTATCTCTCACGAAGACTGGTTTTAAAGGGAGATAAAAAAAAAGAATATTGATTAATTAAAAATCTCAAGTATGCTTGCTAAAATATTTCCCATTAAAAGAAGTTATGCTTATAGAGGACAGTAAACTATAATGAGCTTTTTCTATCCGAAAACGATTTAATAATCCGATATTTATCATTGAGCAGATTTTCTAAAATTAGCAAAAAGTGATTCTAAGCTCTTTGTCGAATGGAAACCAAGGTGATAAAATAAGCAGCAAAAATATTTTTGCAGAATGCTTGGAGATATGAGAAGAAACATTGGTACGGGTGCATAAAGCCTAGTTGAACATTTGAAATAATTAATACTCTTCTGAAATATATAAAAGTGATAGAAAATCGATATAGATCGATGACTCTGCAACGAGATTGATTATATATTATTTACATACAATTCGGTCTCTTTATATCTACATTCACTTGTGCATATGAAAAGTCAAATCTACAGGGCATCTGCAAGTCCATCACGCGCCACTAGCTAATTTCAGTCGTTCGCTGGTGTTGCTGCTGTGGCCGTCATTGTCGCTTTGCCTATGCCCCAAACAAACTGTTCAGTCATTCATGGCATACTTTATCAGCACAGGTGCTGGGGCGACAGAGCAGGGCGTGGCGGGGCGACCACCGCCTACGCCGGCTGTGGTAGGAAATTGTTACAGCTCGCTCGTTTGCTCGTTTGCCAGCGCTGCTGCCCGTTGTCATAATGTGGGCAATCTGCTCTCTATTTTTAGTAGCCGGCAATTGTGAAGCAGTGCAACGGGCCGACGGCAGACAGCGGACGGCGGACGGCTGACGGCTGACGGCAGTTGTGGCAGCTGTTGCCACATCAATGCGGACCTGGCCGAAACTTCATTTTGGGCCATTTAGATGCTGCTGACACGCACACAAACACACACAAAACCAAGCCACAAACAGACAATCCCTGTGCGTTGCAGTCGACGAGGTGGGGGGCTGGGGCAGGGTGGGACGTGAGTCAGGCGACGTTGCACAGGACACACCTCTATTGCCACGGCGAGTCCTGCCTTGCTGCCACGCCACGCCTCGCCTCGCCGCACCTCGCCTGTGCTAATATTTGCTCGACTTAATTAAAAATCTTTTTTAATTTGCATAAAGTTCATGTCGGGGTGTCATTTAATGTGGTTTTTGTGGCTAACTGTTGCCGCTGCCAGTGCATAGATGCCGCTAGAGATTATGAATTTGGAGGAGAGTTTATGTAGGAGGCACTGAAGGAACGTACAGATAGAGAAAAATGCAGAGATAGTGAGAGAAATAGAGGTAGTCAGGCAGAGATATAAATTGGAATGGACTACTAAGAGAGAGACGGATTGTAAGAGAGAGAGCGTGAGACAATTAGTAAGAGACAGAGACAGAGAGACAATAAAAAGAGAAAGAGGCGTTGTAAGAGAGAGATTAAACAGTCAACGAAAAAAGGGAGAGGTGTATAGAAATAGAGAATTAAAGAACATGATAGAAATTAGCGTAAAGTAAAGGTCTAAGTGATAAGTCAGTAAGGTAAAGAGAGAGACAGAAAGTATGAAATAAGGATCGAGAATCAGTTCGAGAAAGAGAGCTCTATCTAGAGCCATGATCGAGCTCTCTTTCTCGAGAGATGCAGTCAATATTTTTTATAAAACGTAAATTTTAATGAATTTTATTTTTTTGCCTTTTAAAGCCTACCCAAATTTATTCACAATTTTAAGTTTATTTTCATAGGCCTAAAGCTAAGAGTACTTAAAAATTTAATGTATTTACTGAACGATACTTGAACTGGATTTTTGTATATATTACAAACCTTTATAACCTCAGTTTAAACAAAAAATGGTATACCTACCTGCAGTCGGAAGTAATTCAATATAAATATTCAATATAAAGTTGAGACAGTCGACAAAATACTCTAACTAAATTAACAATTTTAAAAAAACTTGGTTAAAGTGACTAGATTTTAATATCTCACCATAAACTAAAGTCCCTCAAGCAACAAAAACTATGAACAATAGATGGCGCCACTTGGTCCTTCAGAGGCAAGCCCCTTGCGATAAAGAGTTTTGTAAGCATTTAGCAGCTGCTCAAATTACATCCGAAGCGCTGAGCAAAGAGTTGACGCTGCTCGTATATGTATAAACAAGCACATATACATGCATATATATTTATAGTACCACATATTTAGGGCTAGGTGGCGCCACGGTTTGGCGTCATCTCTTGAGTTCTCGAATTTCGAGCTTAACTGCCACTCGGCTTGGCCTTTTGTTTGCTTCCAGAGCCCTGCCACACTAATTAACGAAATGCACTTGCCGCCAGCTCGAATTGAAAAAGAAAACACAAATGAAGAAACTGAAAAGAGAGAAATGAGGAATATAAACGAAACGAAACGAAATGAAATAAAAGCGTTGACGTCGCCCACGGCCATTGACAATGATCACAAAGCGAGCCCAACTAGCCAGAGGCGTGGCAAGGCGGGCGGGGCTAGTAGTGAAGTGGCCAAAAGGGCTTGCAGCTGCGGGCTATTTCCTTTCACAGCTGTGGGCTTTTGTCAAGGAAAAGCTGACTAATTGCAGCAGCATTTGAAGCATTTCAAGAATCTGCTCCGCTGCACTGTAATCCACCAAATCTCATGGTCAGCTCCGCAGTTGCCGGCCCGTGCAGCCGTGTGCCGTGTGCACGTACCTCAAATGTGCCCAACTAACGACAGTGCCGGCGAGATTTCAATTAAAGTCCGCAAAACACGATTACAGCTTAGCCACGCCCACCACCCACCACCCACCGCCAACACTCCAGAAACCACCCGGCCACCCACTCGCTGCGGCTGGGCATATATGGGCACGTCGCATGCCTTCAATCAGGCGCGCTTTTATGACTGCACAGGCATCGGGCGAGGGCTTGGCTGGAAAGCTTTAATATACGTTTAACGTGTGTACACTGAGAACAAATGTGGGGCACTCTTGGTAGAAAATACTCAGAGTGAATGAATTTAATGGGCAATCAAGTTTTGAGCAGTATGAAGAGAGCAAAAATTCATATTCATGTAGAGAGGAAAAATTTAGATATATATCGAGCTATACATATTTCGAAATGAATTATGTGTTTATATAGAGTATATATGCTTGTTTTTAACCATTTTAATAGTAGAGCGTATATAATTATATACAATACTTATATAGATAACATTCATCAGTAAAGATTCTACACAAAAAATTCTATAGATATATTATATATTAGATTCAGCATACCAAAGATGATTATATTGAATTGTAATAATATAATAGTATTCCAGAAGTTAAAATTGAAATATCTATTTACCTAAACGTAGATCCTTTACGAGAGGGAGAAAGAAATAGGGTGAAAATCTCAACATTTAGATCCTAACAGAGAAATGTAAAAATTTGAAATTTGATGGGCTATACAAAAACGACATGTGAACGATCTCGATGATATAGATATATGTCCATATGCATTAGTGCATACATGATTTATTTACAAGAATGTCTTTAGATGGTACATTAGTTTTATATTAAAAAAAAACGTTATTTTTAAATAAATGTGTAGTACTAGAAAATTTCTTCAAGTGCATCCATGATAACATACATGTTTACCTCTTTGCCACGTCCTGGGCGTGTCCTGCGCCTATTAAGCTTAACGAGCACGTGCGCCCGTTACGCATTTTCCAACACTGCCCGGCACAATTAAGCAACAACAATACACGAGGACGAACAAAATCCAATAAATGCGAACAAGAGCAAATCCAACTTTGAGATGCACTTGCTCCATCTACACGTCCATTGGGAGATCTGTAATAAAGGGAAAATGCCAAAAAAAAAGAAGAAGAAGCAAAAAAAATGAAGGAAAATATCTGCGCCATTTAATGAAAAATGTAACAAAGCGAAACGAGGGGCGTTTCGTCAGCAACAGACCAACGCACAGGCAGAGCTCCCCAGTGACTGACGCCCCCATTGACTACGACCCCGCCCCCTCTCGCTCACCTACACAACTTACACATGCAAATGACTGCAATAAAAATGGGAGGCTGGCAACTTTTATGATTGCAATACCCCTGGTACACGAGCGAGTCGGTTAGAGTGAGAGAAGCAGTGATAACTTAAGGGGGGAGGGAGACGGAATGAATATCTGAACTGGTTAAAGTTGCAGGTGAAATTACGATATGAAACTACTTTGATTAATACATTTCAACTGAATATTCTGTTAGTATTATATTGAATAGCATCATCAACCAACAATATCTTAGCAATTCCTCCGTCAAACAATTCTGAGAGATGAGGAAAGGTAGCTCCAGTAATGCTTAAATTAGTATATGAATAATTTCAGTCGACATCCAACTCATTTCTTACTACTTTCTCTCACATTTTCCCTTCTTTCGCACTCTTTACAGGCGCTCACAAAATTCCAAACCTCACAGAAGGTCACAAACAAGACCGGCATCGAGCAGGAGGAGACGCTGCTCAATGAGTCGGCCGCTCGTGAGACATCGCTCAATCTGCAGATACTCGATCTGGAGAACGAGGCCAAGCAGCTGCGCCATGAGCTGGAGCGCGTGCGCAATGAGCGGGATCGCATGCTGCAGGAGAACTCAGACATTGGACGCGATAAGAGCGACAATGAGGCGGAGCGACTGCGTCTCAAATCAGAGCTGAAGGATCTGAAATTTCGTGAGACGCGTATGCTCAGCGAATACTCAGAGCTGGAGGAGGAGAACATATCGTTGCAGAAGCAGGTGTCCAGCTTGAGAAGCTCGCAGGTGAGTTCATTTGAATTGGAATAGGAATTTGGTTAGACTTGGGTCATTTGCACCTTCGTTGCCTTTCAGGTGGAGTTCGAGGGTGCCAAACATGAGATACGTCGCCTGACCGAGGAGGTGGAGCTGCTCAATCAACAGGTCGATGAGCTGGCGAATCTCAAAAAGATTGCCGAGAAGCAAATGGAGGAGGCGCTCGAAGCACTGCAGGTGTGTGGCATGAAATAACTGCAGAAATCTGGAGCTGTCTTTGACTAAATTCTGAAATCCTTCTTTTAGGGCGAGCGTGAAGCCAAATATGCGCTGAAAAAGGAGCTCGATGGCCATTTGAATCGCGAGTCCATGTTTCACATTAGCAATTTGGCCTATAGCATACGCAGCAATATGGAGGACAATGCCAGCAATAACTCGGACGGGGAGGAGGAGAATCTGGCGCTCAAACGTCTCGAGGCGGATTTGAGCACCGAACTCAAATCGCCCGATGGCACCAAATGTGATCTCTTCTCGGAGATTCATCTCAACGAGCTGAAGAAGCTGGAGAAGCAGCTGGAGAGCATGGAGAACGAGAAAGCGCATCTGACGACGAATTTGCGTGAAGCGCAAAGCAGTCTGGACAAGTCACAAAATGAGCTGCAAAACTTTATGTCGCGCCTCGCCCTGCTGGCCGCCCATGTCGATGCGCTGGTGCAGCTGAAGAAACAGATCGACGTCAAGGACCAGGACAGACAGACCAAGGAGGACGAGCAGCAGCTGCAGCAACAGCTGCGCAGCATTATTACACAATATGCCAATTGGTTCACGCTCTCCGCCAAGGAAATAGACGGCCTCAAGACTGATATAGCTGAGCTGCAAAAGGGCCTGAACTACACGGATGCCACCACCACGTTGCGCAACGAGGTGACTAATCTGAAGAACAAGCTGCTCTCCACCGAGCAAAAGTCGCTGGATCTGCAGAGCGATGTGCAGACCCTGACGCACATCTCACAGAACGCGGGACAGAGCTTGGGCTCGGCTCGCAGCACGTTGGTCGCACTCAGCGATGACTTGGCTCAGCTTTATCATCTGGTCTGCACGGTGAACGGAGAGACGCCGTCACGTGTGCTGCTGGATCACAAGACCGACGACATGAGGTAAATGGAAATTTACATATTTCCCTTGAAACCATTTATAATAACTTGAATGTTTTCCTTTCAGCTTCGAGAACGATTCCTTGACTGCCATTCAGTCGCAATTCAAATCGGATGTCTTCACCGCACGCCCGCAAATCGTTGAGGATCTGCAGGGCCTGGCCGATTCCGTGGAGATTAAGAAGTATGTGGACACAGTGAGCGATCAGATCAAGCATTTGAAGACCGCTGTGGAGCACACCATCGATCTGAACAAGCACAAAGTGCGCGCTGAGGGCGGAGAATGTAAGCAAACACAAATCCCATAAGGGTTGAGCCTCCCTCATAGCTCACTCTCTCTTTCCCTTTACAGCTTCCGATAAGGGCAACACCGAGGAGGTGGAGGAGCTGCAGGAGCAAATTGTGAAGCTGAAGAGCTTGTTGTCTGTGAAGCGCGAGCAAATCATTACACTGCGCAATGTGCTCAAGTCCAATAAGCAAACCGCCGAGGTGGCGCTCACAAATCTCAAATCCAAATATGAGAACGAGAAAATCATTGTCAGCGACACGATGTCCAAGCTGCGCAATGAGCTGCGACTGCTCAAGGAAGATGCAGCCACTTTCTCCAGTAAATATAAAACATAAATTATAATGTCAATTTATTAAACTAATCTCTCCTCTCTCTCTCATCAGGTCTGCGCGCCATGTTCGCTGCACGCTGCGAGGAGTATGTAACTCAGGTGGATGATCTGAATCGTCAGCTGGAGGCTGCAGAGGAGGAGAAGAAGACGCTCAATCAGCTGCTGCGCTTGGCTGTGCAACAAAAGTTGGCGCTCACACAGCGCTTGGAGGAAATGGAAATGGATCGGTGGGTGCATTTGGGTCGCTAAACAAGAAGCACAGCACAAGAACTCAAAGTCCCATGCCAATAATTCAATTAAGCAAATGTCTTTAGTTATGAAATCCTTATACAAAATTCAAGAATCCTTCACTTGGTAAGCATTGGGGCAAAATAATGTTTGCATGCGCGAAACGCTAAGGCGTTTGCTGTTGCTGTTGCTGCTGCTGCTTCCGGATAACGAATGCCTAAACCAAAGCAAGAACTGAGAGAAGCTCTTAAATAATAATCTGCCAGATAATAATATTTATATTGTAGTTGCTAATTGTTGTTCATAAAACCCTGCTGCCAAACTAAATCGTTTCCAAATATCTTAAACGCTTTGCTAATCATTCTCTCTATTTGGCCAACAGCGAAATGCGTCATGTGCGTCGTCCAATGCCTCCGCAGCGCGGCACCAGCGGCAAATCCTCATTCAGCACACGTCCATCCAGCAGAAATCCGGCGAGCAGCAATGCGAATCCATTCTAACATAAGATCAGCGTGCAGCGTAAGCTTTTGGCCTTGGTTTATACTTTGCTTAAGTTGTAAATTCGTTGGGAGTAGCTGAAGAATCACTCACAGACGAGCCCGGACCCATACAACACACACGTGGAATACTTTGAATGTATTTGTGAAGGATGCTATAGCTATTTGTTCTACTTCCTATATTTAATGATATATAACTGTATTCTATTTGTATCTGTTTCTATTTGTATTTATTGAGCCCTTAGTTAGACAAAAAAAAAAAAAAGAAAATCACATAAGAAAACAAAACAAAACAGTTATTAACGGTTAGTTACTTAAACGTCCAATTAATTTAATTAACAACTCTATTGAAATTGAAACAACAACAAAATATCAACTAAATAATTGTATTTTTCTATATACAAGAAAAACATGATCAACAAATATATTTGATTCAATTTAGTTTGCTTTTTGTTAACATTTTCGCGTTGATTGATTTATAAAATTTGATTTTTGTTATCAACGCTGTGCGCAAAAAGCGAAAGAAAAAAATTTGAAATGAAAAAAACATATATACATATATGTAAATTGGCAAGCATGTATTATTGGCCTGACTATAAAAAGTATTTTTCAAAAAAAAAAAAAAAAAAGAAGAAAAGAAAACAAATTGGAAAAGTATTTCCAAAAAGAAAATGTACGTAAAAGTAAAAACGAGATAACTTTTGTTGAAGAACAAAAGCAGAAAAGCTTAACAAAAACAAAATATGTAAATTCTATATGCTATATTTATATAAAGAAACGATAAATATTTGGCAAGCGACTGTTGTGCGGATTTCTATCAGCAATGGCAGCGGCGTCTCAAAGACGAAACATTTTTCTGATTGAAAACAAAAATTGTAGTAAATTTAATTATTTTCTGTTCGCAATCAAAATATTATTTACATAAAAAACCAAGTTTTTTTGTTGCAACCATAGTCTATAATTTGTGCATTATTTAATTTAATAAAAAAAAAATAAAAATAAAATAAATTAATTGAAATGAAAAGAACATTTATTTAGCCACAATCTTTTTCACTTTTATTTTATAAACACAGCCTTTAAAAATAGAATATTCTATTTACTACTAACAAGCAGCTTAATCAACTTAAAATAACAAAAATATTGAATAATTAAAAAACGTTAAAGTTAAAACTAATAATTATTATTATTATATTATAGTAGCAAATTAATTAAATACACAAAATTAGAGATTTCAAACACAGCCAAGATCTATGAAATTATAAAAATATTAGAATGTTTATGTTTCAAAAATGTTTAGTTGGAAAAATGTGTAAGAATATCAAATTGAAATATGCATTGAGCGTATATTATGTAAATTTACCGAGCCATTAAATTGAATTTATATTTAAGACACACACATGCATACATAGACTCACACACACACACACACACACACGTCGTCCATACACTCACATACACTGAGATTAACTGAACTTATTCAGTTGCCTATACAAATTATTTATGATGAAATTTGTAGAACAAGAAACAACAAAAAAAAAAACAACTGATGAATACATAAATTTCAAAATGATTTTATTGTAATTTTACCGTCCCTTTTTGCAAAAAGAAAACAAAGAGAAATATGTAAAGATGGAACAAAGTCTATTTATTGAACACACACCGAACCAATAAACAACAACTACAACATCAGTAAAAACAAAAACAAATACAACTTTAAGTTTCATCCAGAACATACATCCATATATATATAAATAAATATATATGTATACATATACATACCTTATCAATCGACCCAACAAGCCAAAATATTGATAGCCAACAAAAGTAAAAAACAAAAACAAAATAAAATAAAATAAATAATAAAAAACATAACTAAGAACTATTTCAATTAACATAGAACAAAATAATAGTTTTCTATTTCAAAACAAAAATAAATAAACTTAAAAAGTAAAAGCAATTGAATTTAAGAATTGATAAATATTTAATAAGTTTTATGATAAATGGATAAACGAGCCCCGCCCTGGGCTACARTGGACATACATACATATGAGCATTGCCAACATGCAGTGGGATAAACAAAACAAACAAAGAAATTAACATAAATTATACATATGTGAAGAAATAAACAAATTAGCGAATAAACAAACAAAATATCTTTTATTTATTTCAATTAACTTTATTGCAGTGGAATTATGCGGTGCATGAGAAGCGCACAGAAAGGTTCTTCCTGAATTTACAGGCCAGCTAGAAGTGAAATTTCCCATGAACTTTCCACAAAAGTAAATTTCGTGATTGTATTGTATTAAACGTGCGTGACTTTATTTGGGGCAGGAACACATCTCTAGTATTTAATAATAAATAAATCAACTGTTTGTTTTTAAGCAGCTACGTCGACAGCTGTTTTCATCACCCCACCATAAAGCAATAAAAAGTATACAATATATGCATATATATAAAGATTGTGTTATCTGCTCAGTTGTACAAGTAATTGAGTACAATTTTGAATAGATTACTGGAGCTAATTAGCCTAGTCAAACAGAAGCTAATTAAATCTATATAATATTCGTATACATGCATATGTATAGGTGATCCTCACAGTCAACTCTTCTCACTCAACATTCCATATGCCGACGCAGAGCATTCAAATGYCTTCGAACGCACTTGACTTTATTTATTTATTTCCTGGCAATCAATTCGAAGTCTTAATGTAAATGTGAATGACTCCCTCCCTCAAGCACGTTATCGATACCGATTCCAATCACTGGCGATGTCCAAGTCACGCGCCATCGTCACGCGGCGAGCAAAACTACCGATATTTTAGCCAGGCGAACATAATTCACCAGATGCACGACGATGCTCTATCGAACAGTCGACAACAAACCAATACTCGCCCACCGCCGACAGTCCCTCACTCACACATGGAGAGAGATAATAACAGAACACAGCACACACACAAGCGCACACTTACCCACACACTCATACAGTTGCGCACATGCAGAAACGAAAATTCATGCTGAGTCAGTGCCTTCCTTTGCCTTCTGCTGCCGCTGCTTTGGTTGGTGGTTGGTCGCAGCGCTGTTTCTATACGAGAAACCAGTAGCGCATGCAAAGGGGATGTCCGCAACAGCTGACGAATGGAAATGTGTTAATGTATAAGACACAAATTATTAAATATGTTAAATATATCAAATATTTAATTCTTGTTGGCTAAAACTGCACAGCTCTTCAGTTTGTTTATATATTTTCTTGCAAAAATCAAAGTTATTATTCTTCTACTACTTGCATATTCGCCAATACGCAAAGTTAAAGACCCCTTTAGAAAAACTCCCGACTACGTGCCTGGCAATATCGCTTTATTGGTTGGTGAGCCGTCGCCCAGTGGAACTTCGAAAATTTTGTGTTGTCGAATTGCACAAACCGAACATCAGGCGCCCAGCAATTCTCACAGGTGCTCGCCATGATATAGTTGGATGGCAACTCTTATTGGCTGCCGTCTCAGCTGCTGCCGTTTGGCGCGTTCACCGCTTACGCGCGCACACACACACGCAAACCTCTGTCTGTGCCTCTGCCTCTGCCTCTGCCTCTGCCTCTGCCTCTGCCACTCCTGTGTGTGTATAGAGCTGTGTTCTGTATTGTTTTTAAATGATAGCGGCCGGCCAGCTACAACAGTCAGCTGTTACTGTTACTGTGACTGGTGCGACAGGCGCAGACCAACCAGAAATGCTTTAAAGAGGGATAAAGACCGGCCCAATGGCCAGTAATCAGCTCAACAAACTGGCCCGCATCGATACGTCTGGGCAATTGCAATACTTCGGCATGCTACTTTTGCCTTCTGCTGCTTCACTTGACCCGACCCACCACAGCTTGTTCTGCTAGTATTAGTGCCAATTCCATTTCTTTGTAATTTACTTAGTAACCATTTGTTTTCGTCTCACATAGAATGTTGTGGGTGGAGTTGACTGTCAGATCGCTTTCAGCATTGTTCCATTGGCCTAAATTTGAGTTGCAGGCAATCCAAGTGCGTTCGATGTGAGTTGTTATAATTTGAAAACAAAACAGCAACAGCTTTGACATATGTATGTATGCAAATGTATGTAAGTATGGAACGTGCTGTGTTTACTCATATGATGCATGTGTGTGTAGCATGTCATTTAAATAGAGCGGAGACCAGTAGCCGTATTCTATCGCACTTCATTATCGTGTGTGATCATCGGGAGGAGTGGAACTACATTTTTTTCAAACTTATAAATGCTTATTAAATATGTAAAAATTATGAAAAACTTTATTAATGAGCCCTGTCAACAACTTGATTAGCTGTTTATAATAATTAAGCAATAATAAGCTAAAAATAAGCTAATTAGCATTAACAGATATCGATACACATGGAAACAAACATCGTGGCATTGGCATAAAGTATTAAAAATTACCACACTTATGCAAATACATTCATTCATTCATACATATGTACATATATAAATATGTGAACAGAGATTAGCCGGCTCAATTATGTTCATAATTAATTTGCACTTTGTAAAAGAACGCCACAATTTGTTGCACGACTTTCATTAGCACTAACTTTAACTACATGCCTGCATGCATCATGCATGGGTGCATGTGCATGTTTCCCTTTGCCAATTATGTGGGTGGAGTTGAAAATCATATCGCATTGGCCATTACTGCGGCCCCCCTTCCATCCGCACACGTGATGCGATGCTGTTGATAGGGCACACAGAGGCCTATTGGCATTTCGGTTTTTGTAATTGGCTTTTTGTCTCTGTCCCAATAAGGGCAATCGGCAAGAAGCAGAGCAGCCAAGCCAGCATAACAAGTTGCCACGTTTGCCAGCAACAAGTGGGCGCCACATTTGCGCTGCACGCTACGAACCACCAAGCAACACGGCTAGCATAATGCAACGTGTGCGACGACACACACACTCGCTGTCTATCTCATGCGAGTTGCGAGCGGATTTTTTCTGCTCTTTGTTTTCGAACAATGACGGTAAATTTGTGTAGTGCGATTTGTTGTATCGCGCGTCATTTAACAGGCACCCAGAAATTTCAGCTGCCTGCTTTCCATGCATTTTCAACGCGTTGCAGAGCAGCACAGCTAGTGTGTGCACTGCAATCTCTGTGTATGCTAGAGCGAGCTGCCACTAGTAACATGCGAGCTTGCGTATGGTTTGTGTCCAGGCTAAGCGGAGAGCTTTCAAAGCTTCGCGCACACACTTCCTAAAAATGACCTAAATTAATATTTGTATTTGCCATCAAGTTGGGCCACACAGAGAGAGGTCACACAAATTGACAGCTGCAAATATTTAACACATTTTCAAATGGAATTCACAAAAAAAAATGTAAAAAAAAATTCAATGCTTAAAGTGTCTTAGCACATGTGCTAAGGTCGTTCGACAAATATACAAGAGTACCAGCTCGCTACCTCTCACTCTGTCCTGCACCTCTCGCTCTTTCTATTCGTCTTGCTCGCCAATCAGAAGCGCCTGTTGCCGAGGGCAGCTCCAATTGGACTCGTGCTTAGATTAATTATCTTTTAATTAAAAGTTATGTAAGCGCTAAAAACGAGCTCATGGAAATACTTAGCTTACATTTTTGATTTTTGATGTATGTGACGAGATCTAATTAATCTAATTAAAATCTGATTGGATTTTATGTAAGTGTAAGATTTAAGTCCGGTTAAAAACTTTAGATTTTAAACCAAATATCGACTTCAAAAACATATAGAACTGATAAATAAAAACACTTGTATTCTTCGAAATAATAAAACCCGCATTAGTTATATACAAGTTTACCCAGAATGATACGCGGAATTAGAAAGAAGGGCATAAAAATAGAAAAATTAACATAAGATAAAAGATAAAATTTTGACGTTTAATTTTTTTGCAAATTTAGGTTCTTATATTTTTTATTGATCAACAATCTAACAAGGTTTTTAAACAACAACGGAACAAAAAGTGTGAGCAAGTTTACTGAATAAAAAATGCATGAACCTCTCTAATTTAAATATATTTATTA